CCTAGATTCACTTCCAATCTTTCCCTGACATTTTATAATGCTACTCTGATACTACTAAATTACTTGCAGTTTCAATGCAAATACTTTTCTGTTTTACACGTTCATGATTTTGTTCATGCTATTTCCTCCCTCAAACATTCTATTATCATTTCTTTTTTATTTTTTTATTTTTATTTTTTTTAATTTTTATTAGTTGGAGGCTAATTACTTTACATCATTACAGTAGTTTTTGTTATACATTGATATGAAATATATAGTAGTGTGTATATGGGCTTCCCTGTGGCTCAGATGGTAAAGTATCTGCCTGCAATGCAGGAGACCCGGGTTCGATCCCCTGACCAGGCAGTTCCTCTGGAGAAGGGAATGACTACCCATCCCACTGTTCTTGCCTGGAGNCACTGTAATGATGTAAAGTAATTAGCCTCCAACTAATAAAAATAAATGGGAAAAAAAAAAAAAGGCAGAGGTATTACTTTGCCTACAAAGGTTGATCTAGTCAAAGCTATGGGTTTTCCAGTAGTCATGTATGGATGTGAGAGTTGGACTATAAAGAAAACTGAGCTCTGAAGAATTGATGCTTTTGAACTGTGGTGTTGCAGAAGACTCTTGAGAGTCCCCTGGACTGAAAGGAGATCCAACCAGTCCATCCTAAAGGAAATCAGTTCTGAATATCCATTGGAAAGACTGATGCTGAAGCTCCAATATTTGGCCACCTGATGCAAAGAACTAACTGATTAGAAAAGACACTGATGCTGGGAAAGACTGAAAGCAGGAGGAGAAGGGGACAACAGAGGATAAGATGGTTGGATGGCATCACTGACTCTATGGACATGAATTTGAACAAGAAAGCCTGGTGTGCTGCAGTCCATGGAGTCACAAAGAGTCAGACACAACTGAGCAACTGAACTGAACTGGGCAGTATTGCCAGATACAAGGTAACAGAAAATCCATACCATTTCCAATTAAAAAATAAAATATACAATTTACAATGGAAACAACAAAAAAACATGTTATCTACTCTGGGTTTCTTAACTCACCATTTCCTGACATGTAGAGTTAGATAACCATTGTTGTGGGTGCTAATGTGTGCATTGTATCTCAAAGATAAACAAAAATGTCTCCAGACAAGGCAAACGGTTTCTGGGGGACACAAAATGACCTTGATTAAAAATTAGTAATCAAAAATAATGAGTACTAAGGAGAAAGAAAATAAAATCTAATTTCAGTAAAATACATGAAAAGTTTTGATCAATGGAGAGTCACTCCATGCTCTTGGATGTATCAAATATACCAATTCAATGGAATTCCCTTCTAAGTTCTAGCTGGATTTTCTTACTTTGGTAACAGTAAGCCACTTAATGTAGCATTTAGTCTGTGCCAGCCACTAACATAACACTACACACATATTCACAAATCTAATCCTCAAAAGGGCAGGAAATTTCTCTTAACTTCATTTCACAAATTACAAAACTGAAGCAGCCAGTTGTAGAGCAAGCCCAGGGTCACAGAATTACTACCTGACACAGCCAGGATTCACCCCAAGCTGACTGGGTCCAAAACACACACTATTAACCACTTCACTATCCTACCTGGCAAAACAACACAAAAACCACCCTAGAAAGACTGAAATGAAATGCCTGGAAAACAAGTATACTCCTAGAACCTGGAAGAAACTGGCTCTTTCCTACTAATATTTAAAAAAACTGACCATATCAGGAATTTATCTGTAGTGGAAAAATCAGAATCCTCATGAACTCGTGGTGGGAGTACAGACTAATACAATTATTCGTAAGAGTAATCTGGCTTTAGTGAGACTGAGTATATACACACATAACCCAGGAATCCAAGTCTTGAAAATATATGCATAAGTGGACGTATATCAGTTCAGTCGCTCAGTCATGCCCGACTCTTGTGACGCAATGAACTACAGCATGCCAGGCATCCCTGTCCATCACCAACTCCCGGAGTTTACACAAACTCATGTCCATTTAGTCAGTGATGCCATCTAACAACCTCATCCTCTGCCGTCCCCTTCTCCTCCTGCCTTCAATCTTTCCCAATATCAGGGTCTTTTCAAATGAGTCAGCTCTTCGCATCAGGTAGCCAAAATATTGAAGTTTCAGCTTCAACACCAGTCCCTTCCAATGAACACCCAGGACTGATCTCCTTCAGGAAGGACTGGTTGGATCTCCTTTCAGTCCAAGGGACTCTCAAGATTCTCCAACACCACAGTTCAAAAGCATCAATTCTTCAGAGCTCAGTTTCTTTATAGTCCAACTCTCACATTCATACATGACTACTGGAAAACCCATAGCTTTGACTAGATCAACCTTTGTAGGCAAAGTAATACCTCTGCTTTTTAATATGCTGTCTAGATTGGTTGTAACTTTTCTTCCAAGGAGCAAGCATCTTTTAATTTCATGGCTGCAGTCACCATCTGCAGTGATTTTCAAGCCGAAAAAAATAAAGTCAGCCACTGTTTCCCCGTCCATTTGCCATGAAGTGACGGGACCAGATGCCATGATCTTAGTTTTCTGAATGTTGAGCTTTAAGCCAACTTTTCCATTCTCCTCTTTTCCTTTCATCAAGAGGCTCTTTAGTTCCTCTTCACTTTCTGCCATAAAGGTGGTATCAATTGCATGTCTGAGGTTATTGATATTTCTCCTGGCAATCTTGATTCCAGTTTTGTGCTTCATCCAGCCCAGCCTTTCTCATGACGTATTCTGCATATAAGTTAAATAAACAGGGTGACAATATACAACCTTGATGTCCTCCTTTTCCTATTTGGAACCAGTCTGTTGTTCCATGTCCAGTTTTCACTGTTGCTTCCTAACCTGCATACAGATTTCTCAAGAGGCAGGTCAAGTGGTCTGGTATTCCCATCTCTCAGAATTTTCCACAGTTTATTGTGATCCAAACAGTCAAAGGCTTTGGCATAGTCAATAAAGCAGAAATAGGTGTTTTTCTGGAACTCTCTTGCTTTTTTGATGATTCAGCAGATGTTAGCAATTTGATCTCCGGTTCCTCTGCCTTCTCTAAAACCAGGTGAACATCTGGAAGTTCATGGTTCACGTATTGCTGAAGCCTGGCCTGGAGAATTTTGAGCATTACTTTACTAGTGTGTAAGATGAGTGCAACTGTGCAGTAGTTTGAGCATTCTTTGGCATTTCCTTTCTTTGGGATTGGAATGAAAACCGACCTTTTCCAGTCCTGTGGCCACTGCTGAGTTTTCCAAATTTGCTGGCATATTGAGTGCAACACTTTCACAGCATCATTTTTTAGGACTGAAAATAACTCAACCGGAGTTTTATCACCTCCACCTTCTTTGTTCATAGTGATACTTCCTAAGGCCCACGAACTTTACATTCCAGGATGTCTGGCTCTAGGTGAGTGATCACACCATCAAGATTATCTGGGTCGTGAAGATCTTTTTTGTACAGCTCTTCTGTGTATTCTTGCCACCTCTTCCTAATATCTTCTGCTTCTGTTAGATCCAAACCATTTCTGTCCTTTATTGAGTCCACCCTTCCATGAAATATTCCCTGGTATCTCTAATTTTCTTGAAGAGATCTCTAGTCTTTCCTATTCTATTGTTTTCCTCTATTTCTTTGCATTGATTGCTGAGGAGGGCTTTCTTATTGCTCCTTGCTATTCTTTGGAATAAGAATAAGGATGCTTTTTTTCAACACTGTTTGTGCTAATAGAGAGCTGGAGGAATTATAGTGTACATCACTGCACTAAGGCAATGGTTAAGTGAAACATAGCAGGTGCAACACCATGGAATACTAAGAAGCTATTAGAGTCAATGGACAAGACAGGCATAGAGTAACATGAATAGATCTTTAAAACACAATGCTAAAAAGTAAAGGACAAAATGATGCCAATTCTACTCTACATCTGACAAGAAGAAACTCCACACAAGACAGCAATATATGTTTCTCAAGAATGCACACAAATAGATTTGTGTGTGTGTGTATGAATCATATTATATAAATGCCTGTGAGAAGAGATGGAGGAGTAGATAATGCAGATAAAAGGAAATAAATAAAATAAGAGCAAGACCTTAAGTGAGTCAGTAATTACCATGAGCCATGAAGTGAGGAGAGTATTAATTCTACATTCCACACTTGGGGTCCAACAAGTAAATTTAAAGTAACTTCAAAGTAGGAAAAAAAATGAAAAAAAAAATTCTTCTAGAAAGCAACTAACATATTAAGACCTTTAAAATATCAGTAATCTTTGACTCACTGTTATTCTCCGAATCTATCTTAAATTTTAAAAAGTAAATATTTTACACATACAAATTTTTACACATTGTCTTGAAACAATGATAAAAGAAAAAAAAACAATGGAAACAATGCCCTATAAATGGACAGCAGTATATTTCATATACCATTAAAATAATGACTGTGAAATATTAAACATGAAATGTTAATGAAACTTTATGGAAGGAAAATATATGAAGAGTGACTTGCATACATGTTTACATACACAGAAGACTGAAAAGTAGATGCACTAAAATGTTAACAGGTGATTATCTATGAGCTACATACAAATCTGTACATAATTTCCAGTACTTTTCTTTTAATTTCCTAGTATTAAATTTAGGTAACAGAATAATAATAATAATAATTCAGTACTACCAGAATGGCCCAGGCAGAGCAGGACCTAGGGTCATCAGATCCCCCAGATCACATGTCTTTATCATTTAAAAACAAATTATATTTTAAAATATTTCCAAAGATCATACTGATGATGGGCATACAGGTTTAGTGTTTAGAAGTCATTTACTGAACTTCCAAACTGTTTTGTCAAAAAATTAATGGGGCTACACCATACTTCTATGCAGTCTGTTATGAAAAGTACTTTAATATCATAAAGGATTTCCTTAATAAGGGAAATACCAAAGGTAATTTAGGGTGTTATCAAGTACTAATTAACGTTTTATCATGAGTTAGTTTTGCTAGCAAAATAAGAAAATCTAATATAACTATACATACCAACACAGCTACTCCTTAGTGTATCAATTTCAGCACCACCACCATAATCAACTTTTTTCAACCCTAACATAAAGCAGAGACAGCAATTACTTAAATTAGTATAATTGCCCTCATTCTAACATCATAGTTACAAAAGAGGTGGTATAGGTAGATACTGAGAAAAATTCCATCATTTAAGAAGATATTTATAACTGTGCCAATCTGCATGACTCAATTTATTTTTACTATGGTAGTTCCTAATTAGACTTGATTTTACTTCATAGGCCTCAAAATCCAAACTATACACCACCACCTCCCTTTTCACACCATTTCTATACCCCTAAGACAGGCAAGTTCATGGGGCTACATTAAGAATCCAAGTGAGGGCAGACTCTTAACTCAGGTAACTAGAGTCGATTTAAACTTCATTCCTAGTTTTACCATTCTTTCTGAGCCTGCATAATTAGTAACCTTTCCATGTCTCAAACTAATTAACCCCTCTGAGGTAGGTGCTACAGACAGCAGAATATGGAATGTAACTGACAGTTGTGTTTCTTTAAACAACAGTAAAATGAGGAGTAGTGACAACACAAGCTTCCAGCATTCTTAAAAGGGTTCAAAAATTATTTTTCCAAAAATGTTTCCTGTCTTTCATTATTCATAAAACTAGTAAATTGTTTAAACAGTGTTATAAATGTTAAAATTTTATGTGCTAGTCTGTTAAACTTCAAGAGGTTTAAGAGGATCCCTTCCAAACCCTCTTTCATTTGCTCAATTCTCTTCTCAAGCATATTAGACTACATTAACAGCCAATCATGTAAGCTGAGCTGCAAGTGACCCGAGAGTTGCCATAGCAACAGCTGCTTTCAGAAATACGTGTTATGCATTTTAAAAGCTCTCGCAGAGAGCATACCAAATCTATCAATTAACAACCTAAGCTCAACACAGCATATTACCCCAATGAAAGGAGAAACTCAACTACCTTTAACAGGGCAACTACTTTGCAATAAAAGGGATATTTGATACCCTTGAATCAAAATGTTATCATGTTTTATAAATTTCAAAATTGAGCTTGTAATTAATAACAGAGAATATAAAGAATAGATGCAGAGCTTTTTAATAAACGCACAAAACTGATACAGGAAGGAGATAAAAATAATCAGAACTACATTTAGCAATAGACCATAAAAGGTAATAAACATAATATGCTATAATAAAAACTGCCAAATTTTCATGCAATTTTACTAATGAAAAAGTTGGCCCTAAATGTGGCAGATTAAACTGTTTCTCAATGCACATATGGCATTTGCACATGTGTGTGTCACACACACTTCACAGATAAAAGATGTGCATGCAAATAGTCAATACAAAAGACACTTCACTATTTTTAAGAAAATTATTCTTCTGGCAACTCACCAGAGATAAGACATCTTTTCTTCAAAGACTATACTGATGAAATTCCTTCTCATGAAGAGATACACAGCTAGCAGGGTTAACCAATGAAGTCATTTGAACAGTATCCAATTCTGCAATTAAAAACTTTCAAAAACAAATCTGTATCTGCAAATAACTTCAAATGTCTATTTAATGCATTTACATGATTAAAGGAAAAAATAGTAAACAAAACTTAGAAGTCTTAAAAAATCTATTTCTAAAGCTATACTGAAACATATAATTCATATAAATAAACAGAACATATAACAAGTATTACCCAAAGTGTTTTCAAACAGGAAAAATTTGCTACAAATAGGATAACTAGGTAAACTACACTGAAATTACTAAAAATCCAATACTTTTGAGTATGTAATACTCAAAAACTCTAAAGAAAAATATTCTGAGTAACTACTCTAAAAGGAAACAATAAGTTCATGTAAGACTGTATGTCATACATATTTTAATTTTAAATTTTGTACAACTTGAAGGAAAATAAATTTCTAATAGCAGCTAGGGGAGGAAGGAATAGGAGTTTTAGAGTAGGAGAGGCAAACTATTACATATAGAACAGATAAAGAAAGGTCTTACTGTATAGAGTTCACAAGGAACTATATTCCAATATCTCATGACAACCATAATTGAAAAGAATATGGGGGTCAGATATATATATATATATATATCTGAGTGACTCTGCTCCACAGAAGAAATTAACAAAACATCATAAATCAACTACACCTCAATAAAACATAAATAAATAAATAAGGGCTAACTACTATTAACTACTAAAGGAGAAACTTTTTTAATAAGACATAACAAAGATGAAATAGAAATGTGTTAATGGCTATTAAATGAGACAATTAGCAACAATGACTAGGTGTGGCTCCAAACACACAGCAACAACCCTAGAAGGCCCAATGACTGAAGTATTATTTGTGTTAATAAAATATTCATTAATTTAGATTAATTCCTTTGTTCCAAATGCTATCTCATCTCTAAAGGGTAGAAAACAGTACATTTCTCCTTTCACTACAAAAACCTCATCCTTTTTACAACTCTATACAACCTAGATATCATATTAAAAAGCAGAGACATTACTTTGTCAACAAAGGTTCGTCTAGTCAAGGCTATGTTTTTTCCAGTGGTCATGTATGGATATGAGAGTTGGACTGTGAAGAAAGCTGAGCGCCGAAGAATTGATGCTTTTGAACTGTGGTGTTGGAGAAGACTCTTGAGAGTCCCTTGGACTGCAAGGAGATCCAACCAGTCCCTCCTAAAGGAGATCAGTCCTGAGTGTTCGTTCATTGGAAGGACTGATGCTGAAGCTGAAACTCCAATACTTTGTCCACCTCATGCGAAGAGTTGACTCATTGGAAAAGACCCTGATGCTGGGAGGGACTGGGGGCAGGAGGAGAAGGGGACAACGGAGGATGAGATGGCTGGATGGCATCACCTACTCGATGGACTTGAGTTTGGGTAAACTCCAGGAGTTGGTGATGGACAGAGAGATCTGGCGTGCTGCGATTCATGGGGTCACAAAGAGTTGGACATGACTGAGCGACTGAACTGAACTGAACTCCTTAGACTTTAACTCTGAACACCACCAAACACAATTCAAAACTCTAGCAACATATCAAAACTACTAATAATTAAGCTCTTCCAAGCAACTTTTATGTGTTAATTCATGGGATCTTCACAATAATCCTTATTATCTCCACTTTACAGATGACGAAACTGAGGTACAGATAAGTAACTTACAGCAAGTCACACAGCCAGTAAATAAGTCATGGAATCAATGTTAAGCCAGACAATCCAACTTGATATCCCTTACCTTTATCTATATCCACAGTGCCAAAGTAAGTGAATGTGGATTACAACCCTCAACCTATCAGCCTAACTGATGTTTCTCCAGTTACCTCTTACCCTTGCTATCCTTAATTTAGTTAACTCATCCTTAGCTATGTCAATCTCCCAGCTTAAATAATTCCATCAAAGCAAAAATGAATTTGATTTTTTAAAATAAAAATCAAGTAGGCTGAAAACCCCCACAAAAGGAGGAATTTGCTCAAATATGAAACCTAGATAAAAACAATGTTCAAGAGGATAAAACAAAATACCATTTCCTTCCTCTTATGCAAAAAAACCACATATGTATAGGTGAATATGGTTATGATAGTGACAAAGACAAGTAACAATCAAATGCTTACTACATGTCACAAAAGTGAAGTGAAACTTGCTCAGTTATATCTCTTTGTGACCCCATGGACTATATACAATCCATGAAATTCTCCAGGCCAGAATACTGGAGTGGGTAAGCCTTTCCCTTCTCCAGGGGATCTTCCCAATGCTGGGATTGAACCCAGGTCTCCCACATTGTAGGCAGATTCTTTACCATCTGAGCCACCAGGGAAGCCCAAGAATACTGGAGTGGGCAGCCTATCCCTTCTCCAGCAGATCTTCCTGACTCAGGAATTGAACCAGGGTCTCCTGCACTGCAGGCAGATTCTTTACCATCTGCGCTATCAGGGAAGCCCTAAAAGTCAAAGTTAAGTCATGCCAACTCTTTGCAACCCCATGGATGATACAGTCCATGGAATTCTCTAGGCCAGAATACTGGAGTGGGTAGCCTTTCCCTTCTCCAGGGGATCTTCCTGACTCAGGAATTGAACCAGGGTCTCCTGCACTGCAGGCAGATTCTTTACAATCTGCGCTATCAGGGAAGCCCTAAAAGTCAAAGTTAAGTCATGCCAACTCTTTGCAACCCCATGGATGATACAGTCCATGGAATTCTCTAGGCCAGAATACTGGAGTGGGTAGCCTTTCCCTTCTCCAGGGAATCTTTCCAACCCAGGGATTGAACCCAGGTCTCCTGCACTGCAGGTAGATTCTTTACGAGCTGAATATGTCACTAGCACTGTCCTAAGTTTTTTTTTTTTAATATGTTCTAAATTCTAATTATCACAACAACCCTAAGAAGTACACATTACTACCCTTACTTTAGAATAAGCAAACAGGTAGAGAGAAATGACGTAATTTGCCCAAAGGTACAGAGCTAGTAAGTGGCAAAACTGGAATTCAAAAACCTCTGGCAGCTTCACCATGGACAGCTTAACTCTTAATTATGACCCAACCAACTACTTAGCTCTGATGAAATGGGGAATCAAAAGATTTTACAGGTAGATATGTCACACAGTCAGTCAACATAAACATTCCTAAAACTAATCGCGGCTATGCCTGCAGATTTAACCATCATAAATTTGCAGAAAAATTGGAAAACACCAAGATACAACATTTGAGTGTTGTGTTAGTTGCACAGTGTGTCTGACTCTTGGAACCACACGGACTGTAGCCCACCAGGCTTCTCTGTCCATGGAATTCTCCAGGCAAGAATACTAGAGTGGGTTACCATTTCCTTCTCCAGGGGACCTTACCAACCGAGAGACTGAACCTGGGCCTGAGTCTCCTGCATTAGAGGCAGATTCTTTACTGTCTGAGCCACCAGGGAAGCCCAACGTTAAACTAAAGAACGTCCAATTCAAGATGGCAGACTAAACACACAAAGGTGCCTTCCAGAAAATACATCATAAACATATGGAAGAAAAAGCATTCCATAATCAGATCAGAAATTTTGGATAATACTTGGAAAAAGAAAATCCAGATTAAGAAGAAGTGAACAAAGGGAACTGAAACCAAGATAAACACTGGGTCTTCCCAACAAAGTCAGAGAGGTGGCAAGCTTAAAAGACTGGGTAGGCCAGAAAGCTCACTCAGGATTTTCCGTAAGATCCCAATAAAAAGAGCGGGAGGTGAGGATGGGATGTCATCCAGAATATAAATCAGTGTGTCAGTAATAAAAGAACTGCATTCCAAATAATTAGTCAACTCTCCCTGCTTAAAGAAAAAGCTGAGAACAGTGGTTCTTAGTCTTACAGTTAAGCCCGGGCGCTAAAGTCCTCTTCAAACGATGCTGCTGTGCTCAGCTGCTGTCCAGCGGCCCAGCTCTGTGCAACCCCACAGACTGCAGCCCGCCAGGCTTCTCTGTCCCTGGGATTCTCCAGGCAAGAATACTGGAGTGGGTTGCCATTTCATACTTGGGAGGATCTTCCTGAGCCAGGGACTGAACCCACATCTCCTCCATCTCCTGCACTGGCACACAGACTCTTTACCACTGCAACATATGGGAAGACCCTACTCAAACCACAGGTCTGAAAGAGTTTGGATGGGTTACAGTTAGCCTTTTTTTTTTTTTTTTCCATTTATTTTTATTAGTTGGAGGCTAATTACTTTACATCATTGCAGTAGTTTTTGTTATACATTGAAATGAATTAGCCATGGATTTACATGTATTCCCCATCCCGGTCCTCCCTCCCACCTCCCTCTCCACCCGATCCCTCTGGGTCTTCCCAGTGCACCAGGCCCAAGCACTTGTCTCATGCACCCAACCTGGGCTGGTGATCTGTTTCACCCTAGATAATATACATGTTTCAATGCTGTTCTCTTGAAACATCCCACCCTCGCCTTCTCCCA